GGGTAGGTAGGTACTGTATATAGGTTTGTAAGTTGGTATTTATTTCTTTTTATTCGGCACTTCCAACCCTCATTTTTTATTTATTTCAGATCGTTCATCTTCATGTTTCAGTATTTAAACATAGATTTTGTCAGTTTAAACACTCCACACACACACAGGTCATCCTGACTGTGAAGTTAGTTTCTTTATGTAAGATTTATTTTTGTACTTCTTGTTGTTTTTTGTTCTGCAGCCCTGCAGCATGCAGTGTTTTCTGTTAGCAGGTTTGCTCTGTCTGATTCATGCAGACGAGCGTTCAGTGATGCAACACAGCTTCCTGTCTTCAGATTCGATGCGTCCCGCTGATCTGTGCAGCGGACTCTGTCAGACATGACCAGAACTCTCAGAACCGCTCCGTTTCTGATGTGGATTTCTGCACAGCTGAAGGATTTTCCTCAGTTGTTAGTGAGGCTGTTCTGAAAACGTCCTCACTAGTTCGTTTTCTTAAGTTTTAGGAAACTTAAACTGACGACGATAAAATAAAAAGCCTTTGGTTGGATCTGTCAGCACCGACCCTGCGGCAACGCTCTGGGTCTTTTTCATGAAATTTCAGAGCAGATAAATAATCCCCAAATGAAAATCTGAGACTCAGACAGAAAAAAAGGCAGAAGCAAAAGCTCTTAAACGGATAACAGTCTGAAATCCACGGCCGGGGTTTAGCTTTGATCTGACCCCTCAGCCCCACCTGGACCTCCTCCCTTTTCATTGGGCTCAGTGCCCATTACCTGTCTCACCTCAGTGAGGGCTCCATATGAGACACATCAAAATAAAAAAGTGGGTCAAAGATTTTTCCTCCTCATAGTCTCAGGTTCTGTCTTCAGCTCCGGTCCGACCCACAGAAAGACACTCAGCAGTTCAGCTGTGTTTTTTTCTTGCTGCACCTCCTGCAGAGCTGCTCCTCTGCAGGCTTCAGATTATGTAACCGTGGTTTGATGTTTGTACCGAGGATTAATGCCGCAGCCTGAAACGGATAAAAAAATCTGATTTTTATCTTTGCACCACTGCTGAAGCAGCAGCTCATAAGAACAAGTTTTTTTTATAAAAACATTTGAGCCCACAACAATATTTCATCATAAATAATTAAGTCTAATGAACGATGAAAATGTTCAACATCTAAATAATAAATAATGCAGATAAAAAAACATGATTTTGTATTTTTATTTCATGATATGTAATGAAATGTCCATTTATTTCAGACAAATTAGTGTGAATCAGAAACAACAGAAGCCCCACTTTTTACCGCTTTTATTTTGAAATATTACAATGATTATTTCCTGTTTTTCACAGCCGTGGGTGAGCATGTAATCGAATTATTGCCCATTGCCACCAAAATAACTGAACAGATTTTAATGAAACTCTCAGGAAAAAAAACTTTGACATTTATTTACAACTAAACAACTTTTAGGGCCAACACAATTCAAGATGGCCGCCACAACTAAGCAACATTAGCCAACACAAAAACGTCTGACTTTCGGTCCGTTTTACAGATACTGAGCTCAAATTTGTCGTGGTAGTAGCTCTGAGTGCTAACAGATCGGATCATTTTTAGTTTCAGATGTCAGTGGGTGAAATGCATTCCTTCATTTAAAGCTGATTGGCACAAACTGTACTCTGCTTGTTTTCTTAAGTTTGATACAGAAGGAGAATCCTGTATTTTTCAGCACCATGGAGAGCGACAGGCTTTCAAACAGGATTTAAACCCTACTTTATTCACTCCTTATATTATTATAAATCTAGTTTCATTATTTTCTCACGGTTGTGACATTTCTCAGGTTTAGTTTCAGTTTCAGGCTAACTTAAAGAGTTTAATGTTGTTTCTTATTGTTATTTTTATGACTTTAATAAACCAGAGGCAACATGTTTGAAACACTTAAATAAAGTGGTTTAACTGCATCTATAATTTACAGCTTGTTTAGTAAATTCTTCTAGACTTAAATCATTTATTTTTCAACTCATTTAAGGACAAAGTTTCAGTTGCTACAAAATTATGAGAGATTTATTATAAAAAATATAAAACTAAGGAAGCACATTGGTCCAGCTTTAACTAATAAAAGCACCATTATAGATTTACGGTTACTAAATGTAGTTATTTTATTCTGACTGCAGCTGATTTTTATATGTTTGTAACTGAATCACAGCTCAGCTGGGCTCTTATTTTCTTCAGTTCTTTCAGACAGTTGAGTCTTTTTGTTTCTCAGTGGTCTGTAGTTGTTTTCTCTCAGGTTATGTTGGATGTTGTCAGGCTGATTCGGCACATTTTGCTTCATCTCGCCGGTGGAAGTCGGTGGTTTTTCTTGTGATTTTTGCTGAGTCGGCACGTTCAGTGGAGCTCGTGTGACGCCTAGGCTGCTGCCTTCTGCCTCCCCGGCCTGCTCCAGAATTATGACCGCCGTTTAGTAAAATCCCATCAAGCTGTTGAACGAGTGTTTGTTTGTTGTTTGTGTATGTGTGTGTGTGTTTGTTTGTGTGTGCGCTCTTTGATCTATCCCTCATATGGCTGTCCAGCTGTGAGCTGACACGATTACAAAGGCCTGACCAGATGTGTCTGCCATCTGTCTTTCACAAAGACTGTGTGTGTGTGTGTGTGTGTGTGTGTGTGTGTGTGTGTGTGTGTGTGTGTGTGTG